GGGCTGAGACCTAATGAGCATTTCTGAGATCAGAGTGTGGCCTGAGGGGTAGGCAGCATGGGGATGCACCACCGCACTTACTTAATGGTTTCTGCTTACTGCATAAGAAATTACATTTAAAGAAATGAGAATGGGATTGACATGCAACTTTCAAGTACTTTTCTTGGCCCTGGAAATCTTTATCTTCACTTTAACAGTAGTCACTGTCAAAAGAGGAAGGAGCAATAATGTTGGAAAGGAAAAATTAATTTTTAACTGACATAAAGATCTGCTTGCTTATTTTCCAACTTTTTTTTTTTTAAACAGTATTGTAGCAATATTGAGAAAGAAATAATGGCTTCTACTGTGTTTTAAATATTTTAAGTTTGTAAGCTGATATAGGAAATTACTTGGTACTGTGTTATTTAATTGTATGAGCAGAATAACCTGCTCTAAAAAGTGATGTGAACTTTGTAATAATTTATACTGTTTATGTTATTTATGTTATTTATGTTAATAGTTTTTTTCTGAAGTAAGATAGATACAGGATTTTTAAATCAAGGGAAGTCTTTCTACAGGCACAGCCATAAAAAGTGATCTTTTTCTAAATTAATAAGGAATAGTATACCTGTAAGACGACTGGATTAGCCTCTAAGGAGCATGAAACGCAGAAGTAGTACTTCTTAAACACTAAACAAAATACATTTCCTCTCCTCAATGCTCACCTTCTCCCCTGTCGGTGGAAGTAATATTCCTGTCAGACATACAAAGCCATGCAGTCCAAGAATGAAAAGATAAATAATTGGATACAGGAATATAAGTCAATACACTGAATTTCTGTTCACTCCCCTTACTCCTTATTTGCATCACCAAAGATGGTGATTTGATACTCTGATGGTCAGGTCTAAATGGCTCTGAGTGATGTTTTAGTTATAGAGTCTCGGTTGCCTCTGCCTTACTGCTAGATTTCTGACTGTTCCCTGTATGTGATGAGATCTTGTTCTTGGAATCAGAGTAGATTCAGTGACCTGAAGAAGTTATCTTTGCAATTATGGAGTCAAAATCAAATTGAAAATAGGAAAGCATCATGATAACAATCTCAATCCCTGAGGTATTTGGTCTAGATTTTAAAGAGATGTTTCAGTGTATGGGTACACTGTGTCCTGAGCAGATGCCTCTTAAGACTTAGAAGCATTTTTGAAGTATCATCTAGGTGCTGAACTGAATTTACTCAGACATTTATTTTGAAAACTCTGAAAACCTGAAGAGGTGTATGTAAAACAAATAAGGATTTTGTTATATATGATCCAATTTACTTTGTACAACCATAGCTTTCTTCTTAAATTCAGCTTCTTCCTTTTGCCTTATTTAAATCTACTTGGGGGTAAAAATAGAACCAAAATAGGAATGTGGAACAATTGAATCATTTAACTAATCCTCTCCAGCAATACAGTACAAGTTATTGATATAATAATCATATCAATAGTGATCTGTAGATAATGTCAATTGTTCTTCAGCCATTAATTGGGCTAAAGTTTGTGGCAGGTAATATTAAAACTAATATTAGTTTAAATCCTTAATTGCATTCAAATATAGATTTGCTTATGAAACAAACAGCTGCACCTTTTCCATCATCTTTATTAATCTACCATTTGAAATATGCAGCAGATTTTCTGCACCAGTCAGTTATCAAAAGTTGTGCAGATGTAATCACACTATCTTTGATAATTTGTTTTCCATTAAATGAGCTTCTGTGATCTCTGAGACAAGAGCAACAAAATCTATGCATATCTGTCTTTGCAGATAGTATTATTTGAATTAATAATTATCACAATAGATTAATCAAATAGTGACAGTTTGTGGGTGAATTACACATCAGATCCATCATAATTACACTTCTGAGTGTATGATTGGGACAGAAATTTGGCTGTTAGCCATCACAATGACATGGCTTAACTAATGTGATCAGTCTCGAACCAGACTGAGTCAAAATTTTATTTGCCTGGGGAATAGAAGTCCGAGGTATGTTCTAGCCAGTTGATATGATAAATTATTAAATACTTTTTGTGACAACAAGGGATGACAAATATGCTATTTTGTACCCATCACAAAGATTTAAAGAGGTTCATTTTTTCCTTCTTGGAGTTTTTCCAATAATGTATCACTTTCTGTTAATGTTTTCCATCCTTTTTCCAAGATAGTGAGTGCTACTTCCAGTAAAATGATCTCCATGGCAGGGAAGCCACCTCTTCTGGAAGTTTTGTTGACTTGGACATTGTCAATAACCTTTGCAAAATTCAGGTGTGCTAAGAGCTGAATGTCTTCCTACTGTTAAATAAAGAAGAAAAATTATGAAAAGGACCTGTACTTTCCGTACAATATATGTATTGCATGTACGAAAGTTAATTTATAAGGCAGGAGGTACCCTGCCACTTTATATTAAAAAAGTGAAAGTTAAGGCACTTTCCATTACAAGTGTAGCATTTCTGTCTTAAAAACAGATTCCGTGCAACTGGGAAGATGATTTCAAGAGCAGAGTGAATGAGAAGGTTAGGATTGGGATCCATGCAAGGAACAAGAAACAACAAGGAAGCCTGAGGATGATAGAAAGTCACTTGGTTTGACAGAATGGCAGTGCTGATAGAAGTTGGAAGAATACATAAGCTAGGGTTTGCTAATCAGAGAGAAAGGATGTAGGCAACAGTAGCAGAAAGGGTGTTAAGAGACAGGTTGATGGTGTTGTGGAGGTTGAGATAGAACAACCTATGCAAAGTGACCGTGAAAAAAATGTGTTTCCTTATGATACCTGTTGTGATTAACTTGTGGGAGTAATAAGAGTTTATTTTTCTTAACTAGTCTTAAAATTTAATTTTTCCCTCATGTTGAGAATCCTGTATTTCTTATTACATCATATACTTTATCACTCTGTGTCTTGCCTTCAGGCCCATGGAGCTTCTTACAGATGAGATGGCTACTGACCAGTTGTAAATCTTTTTATCCTTCTGTTTGGGAAGGGATAACCTCTCTATCTAGTAACATTCAGAGGACTAAAGCAGGAAGCAAATGTACTGTTGGAAGATCACGTCTTTCTGGTTCTATCACTATTTTACAGGCAGTAAAGACATCGAGATTGCAAAAAATCAGTTGGTACACAGTCAGCAAAATAGAAGAAACTGTTTGTGGGTTGGTTGTTTTGGGGAGTTTTCAACCATTCATACAGGCTTATATTTTTCATTAGAAGGTCTTTAATATCACTTAAGGTTATTGAACTGTGACTGTAATCTGTTAATGAAAACTGACAGTTCTGAAAAACTGAAAGGAACATAGAAAGCTGGAACCTTGAAGGCAGTAGTACACAGGAAAATATAAATACAAAAAACTAGATAAAATGTTCCTGATTAGTAGATGGAACTAGCTGACCACTGAATTGCATCAAGTGCCACTGCAAGTTGAACAGCTGTACTGTCTGAAGTGAGACAGTACAGTTCACCACACTTTAAAAGCATGCAGGATTGCATCTGTAATAGTTCATTTTAAGTATTTTTTATTTTTAGTGGTCTGTCCTACTTCTGATTGTAACTGTTATGAAAGCTTCTGACCAGGAAATTCATATCCAGAGATTATCAAGTAATTATCCAGCTATTAGCTATTTTTGCTTACGATTTCCAACATTAAAAAAGAAAAAAAAAAATTTACTCTTTCATTCTCTCAGTATTGGTCATTTTGGCAGACTTTGTCTTCAAATCTGTTATGAATAATTACTCTCTGAGTGTATTCAGGTAATAATGTACTGCCTAGGAAAAAGCCAATCCCTGGTCTTTCCAAACAATGAATTCTGCTTAACTAATAATCTCAATATAACCTTTTTTTTTCTAAGTTAGCAGCACTGAAATTGCTGCAAGTATAATTTTTCTGAGATGGAATTTCATTATATTATTTAGTTCTGAAAGAGAGAAAAGGATGTTTTATGCAGTTTAAATGTCCTCATTTCTAAATAGGAAAGCGTAATAGATTTGTTGCACTGTGGTGAAATGTGTTCGTTGTATAAACAATTATTTTGTATTAAAAAGCAGGTGCAAGAGACTCTCAAACTCTTTAGGAAAGGTATATGCCATTTAGAACTTGTAAAATTTCATCATCCTTCTAGATGCAAATGGAGAAATATAATCTACACAAAGTCTTACACTGTCTGTAAAATATGAGAGATCAAGTGATTATGTCTCTGGTTGATAGAATTAATCATTTCAGAAAACATTACAAACTTGTAATGGTAGCAGCTGATGAAAATAAAACAAACTATCCCAAGACTTCATATAGAGTTTATTTCTCTATTTGCATTGAGAAGGCTGCTGAAATTTTACGAATTTTAAATGGCATATTCCAGAGTTGAAGAGTTTGAGACTCTGCCAGCACTGTTTTTTTAAGACTTAATCTACTGGGAGAAGGGTGAGGTCAAAAAATATCACTGGATATCTGTGCTTCCTTTTATAATGTGCTGACTGCACTTTCAGTCTTCATTCCTTTGATGAAAAGGGACTAATCATTAAATGTCTAACTCTGCAGTCCAAAAAATACTATAATGTAGGAAAAGTATAAAAAAGGAATAGACAAGCGGATAGTTAAATGTGAATTTCTACTGTAAGACAATAAAGATTACTGAAAATTGCTTGAATGTCTGAAAGTAGTTGCTGTAATGAAGGATAATTATGATACCAAAGTTGAAATTGGAACTGCAGTGATTGAAAATTTGTTCAACAGATACATGGTGATGCTAGCAATTTGGTTTTTTCATTTTGCTATTAGATTCTGGTAATTACTTCAACATGCTTGGAAAGAGATCATTTAGTGTGACAAAATGAAAAATGTATCATCATCACATTAAAAATTGCATTATCTAATGCTGAAAGCTACATCAGATTTTAGGAAATTGAAAATTTTACGTCTGAATTTAGTACCTGTGCCTGAATTTAGTATCTGTGTCTACTGGTCCCCTTTTAGCCCATGCTTAACTTTCCTTTCAGATACTGGAGCCTGAAAGAATACATAGAGTTTTTGAAACAAAAAGTGTGAAACAAGTCTTTCTACTACCCAGGCCCCTGCTGTGCAACATGATGTAGGTAATTTAACCATTTTGTCTCTGTTATTTCCTTTGTAGACAGTGAAAATGTACTATTTCCTGTATTTTTAAGAAGGCTTTGATTGTATTAAATTCCATAACAATCATGATGAAAACTTTAATTTAATTTTACAGTTGAAGTTATTTAGTACATAGAAGGTGTTTGGAAAAAAATGTTAAATGAAATGTTACTTCATTACTTTTTCAGCTACAACTATTAGTTAGATTTGTAATACTTCAACAAATAATTGCAGTTGACCTAAGCCTGAGGTATGTGAGACTGCTTATTGTTACTTTTTTTGCATTGTTACTTTGTGGGGTTAAAATGTTTTAAGCATTTACCAAGTAAATGTTCTTACTGGTTTCAGTTCTGTAATCTTGTGTGGTTTAAATAATTTAATTTTTTTGGAGCTGTCAAAGTATTATTTGATCTGGAAGGATCTATTAACCAGTAAATCCAGGGAAAAAAGTGGTCTCGTAGGGAAACAATTAGCAAATTCCGATACATAAGATCTAGAGAATATGGAGAGAAATCAGAGTCCTTAGAAGAAAAGAAACATTTAATTCTCTGTATGAATCAGAAAAGTCTTACAATTTTTGGTTCAGCATCCATGTTAACACAGTATTAGCAGAGAATCTGTCTTGCAAATATTATCTTTCAACTGACCTGTGTTACAGTACAATTAATATTCATTTATAGTAACTTAAGGAAGCAGGTAATAGGATTTTCAGAGAAATTTCTTGGTGACCTAGATTGGTATAACTCTGCAAAAGACAGGGCATAAATAAGTTGCTTAAGAAAAAAAGAGGGGAATGAATTTGGAATCCTGAGTTGCACATATTTGAAAGCAGTTACCTCAATATGTGCTAGGAAAGTCATTCACTTAAGAGCCTCACTGTAATAAAATAGCAGTTGTGGTCAGTATGTTAATTTATTATAAGTTGATTTTTAGTATAACTTTGGTTGTTTTCCATATATTAATATTACTACAGACATATTTTACGTAACTTAATCTTCATTTTTACATTAATGTTGTAGGAACTTAGGGATTCGGGGTTCCTCTAGAGTGGGTGTAAGAATTTTCTATCATGTGAGAATCTTGCTATTAAGCATGATCTAACCTTGAGTATGCTTTTTTGAGTAGGCTTGTATTCTTTTTGATTAGTGTCTTTTCCTCTTTCTTATTTCTTCTTCTGTTGCAAAAGGCCCTATATCTAGTTAACTTCACTTTTTCCTTGCCCAGTATGTACTAGCCTCCAAAAGGAATGAACATGAAATCTTTCTTGTGTATTTACTAGTCATTCTTTTAAAAGAATTTTAGGTTTAGATTTGTCACATCAGTCATTATTCCTTTCTAAGCATTTGTAGTTATTTCTTTCTCTGTTTTTCAGCTGGAAAGGTAGTTACGAAAAGTAACTAATTAATTTTGAGATCGTTATGAAAATTGGCTTCCTTTTGGAACTATAATCCTTTTTTTTTTACTTGATACAGATGTAAAACACATGATGTCAATACAACTGTATTTGTAGCTGTCATCTGCAGAATTTCTAAGAATTAACTCGGAGCTTTTATTGTAAGTACATCTTTGTCTAATAACATTTGCTATCTTTCTAAATGTGGTTGTATTTCTTATAAAAAAGTCTAATTCATAGATGAGACTCCTACTTCTGCATCATTACAGTTTAAAATGACTAATTAGTGGTTTTGTTGCGTATTAACATTATTTTTAAAATCTACAAAAAATTTTATAACCGTGATTTCACAGAGCGCTGGTAATGCAAGATGCTCACAGTCTTTACAGACACTTTTTAGCAATAGTTTAAACTGCCTGTCATTTTCCAAAAGCCCCTTAATATCTCTTCAATGTCTTAGATTCGCAATGTGCACACTTTGTGTGGTTCAGTCACCTGTGTAAATAACAGCTTTTTCAGAATTTATATGAGCAAATAATTAATTACTAACAGTTTTGGATAGTCAATATTTTAGTCAAACTAAGTTTTGACAAGTTTTCAGAAACTTTTGAGTTTTAAACTCAAAAACATGAAATATGAAGAGACTAAAGTACAAAAAGTGTTCAACAAATGCTCTTACTTTTGTTAATTTGTTTTGATACTAGGCCAACTACATCTTGCTTATCACTGTACTATCTTAGTATCTAAGAAAATTGATTTTTCTCTCTCACTGCATTTTTTCAGAATTCCCAGTTTACATTCTATGGGTTTTTTTTCTGAATTCATAGTTTTTCCAGCTTCCCAGGGCTAAATTGACAAATATGGGCCAGACAGATGAAGAACTCTTCATCATTTGTTGGGAGTTTAAAAACAAAACCAAATTAAAAGCCTTCCCAATCCCCTCCTAAGCCCTACAGTAATTTTTTTTTACATTTTCTACTCCACTGTTCTTGAAGATGGAAGTTCAGTATCTTGGTTGTGTTCATAGTTGTGCTGACCTGATCTTTTCATTAGGTGAGGTTGTACACTTGAGATATTTGAAAAGAAAAGCTGAAAACTGAAATTTAACCATATTCAGTAGGGAATCAACTATATGAGTAGAGTGATGGATTCTTGGTGACCTGTGTTGCTAAGAAACAAACTGCTGTCTTGTCATTTGATTAAATCCTTCTCTTCTGAGTGTTTTTACTGGAAGGTCCATTGCAATGCCCTGCTCAGGCTCGGATGTTGCGCATCCAGTAACCATGAGGTCGAGTTAGTCTCTGCTTCATTCCTAACATCAGTCTTGCTTCATCTCAACTAAAATCACTCAGAGATCTCTCAGTGAACATATCATATAAAGTTCCAGTTACTAGTACTGAATTTGCCTGGTGCAAGTTGGGTTAGAATATGCACGAACACATAGTGCATTTCTGTTATATTGGCTGGTGTGCACACAAAAAAGATTTTTAACAGCATTTTTTTTTCATATTAGGTTAGTTGATATGTGGTCACGTAAAAAATCTGCCACTAGAAAGTTACCCTGTCAGCATTGTTTGAACAAATTTAAACCAATGAACTAATTTTTAATACGATCTATTCTATGCATTGTAGTACTGCAAGCTTTTGGTGAAGTATAAAAAATTATCTGGCTAGATTTACTGCTAAAGTTCTTTTTGCCTATACTTGCTGAAGAGTATTTCTAAAATAGAATCTTCCTTATTCAGTTACAGATCTGATAGGTTTGTTTTCTCGTTTCACACTTTATCTTATTACTGTAATTTCCCTTTTTTGAACTTCGAAAAACATAGCCCCCTTCCATAATATTTATATGAAATGTTGCTGCAGTGTGTATTTTGTCACCATCTTGTTTCTATATCCACCTTTAAATTTGTTCCCAAACCTTTCACTTTGGACCCCCAGTGCTCCCTCCCTTTCTGTGCTAGCCATTATTGGCCCCTTGTTGAATTTTCAAATGTTATTTCTTTTTTGCTTTGTCTCATGTTGTATTTCCCACTTGATAGGAATTTTTATAAACACTCAGTAATGCCCTTACATCCCATGGCTTCTTGCTATGACTTTTGTTTCATGTGCTAAGAACTGGGTTTCAGGAGTAGCCAACCTATATGGAATGTCTTTAACAGAGTGTGCAGAAGATCTTCACTGCTTTTGTTTTTAGCCTACAATGACCTGTAGAAAATAGCTTTAAATAACAGATTTTCCTCTGGGATATACCCTAAACCTGGACATCACATATGTGTTTGGATGCTGTGGTAACTGCAGCTGTGTTGTCAAGGAAACAGCCTTGTGCTAGTAGGCAAAACCAATGAGGATTAAGCAAGGCTATATTATAGCTAAGTCCCTGTGACCTTATCAGGGATCAAGATCTGTCTGTTCTTCAGTGTGCAGGTGTCGCTTAGGAGTGAGGCTGATATGCACAGGCAAAAACATACGTGCAATATGCCTAATGTAAGTATCAGACCTGGATTATTCTAAGAAGTGAATGCATTTCCCAGTTAGATGGATTAAAAGACTCCATTTGTGTAAGTAAAATCTTTATATAAAATTAAATAATAGAAAAGTTTCTCCGTAATCTGTGAAATGAGGAATAGAATTGAAGTATAATGAACTCTTTTTTTATCTTTATTGAAAATTCACCCAAAACTATACCAGTATCAAAATACCTTAATTTCTCAGGGATAAGAAACAAAGTTCAAAGAACCCTGAGATGGAGAATAGTTGTCAACTGTTTCCAACACAGTGTTATTCTTCAGTAATAAGAAACAATTAATGTGTCACAAAAGTACACTGCGACATGGCTGTATTATTTGGTCTGAGTTTTTCCTTATCTAAAAGAATGAAAATCCAAATGTAAGTGAGATAAATTAATGCAAGAGAAAAAGCCTAATTGCAGGGTGGAGTAGGAAGTTGGAAAAGTTATTTAAGTTGCTCTTAGAAGTTAATTGTTTTCTGCTAAAACTTTATTTTTTACCTTTTGTTTCTAAAGCAAAATAGAATGTTACACATTAGTTAAATCTTTATAACAAATAAGAATGAGTGAAGGAGCAACTAAATTTTACATGTTTTGTCAGGGTCTCTGAAGTTTATTGTGCTTTTCCTTTTTGTATTATCATGTAACATCAAAGGTGATTTTATGTCTTTCTTAATTAGCCCTAAGTTTTAATTGTTAATCTAAGAGTATGAGCGGTTGTATTTTTCTTTATCAGTATCTCTTGTGCTACAGGCCTATTTAAGAAAAATTTAAAATCAATGTTAGTTGATTATAGTTATGTTAGTTATCTGCCGATAATGCCTTTTTCAACAGTGGTACTGTCCCATGTACTGAGAAGGGAGCAACTGAAGCAAACTGTGAAATGAGACACATCTGATTAGGATAACGATTTGGCTTCTAACATTATCTTGCAATATATTTTCTTTCTTAGTGGAGTTTTTTCTTTCAGAGGTTAATCTAAACCTGCCAAAACCAATAGATTTTGTTAATTTTGGTTATTATTTTCTACCATCCCACTGATTTTTTTTTTTCAGTTCTGCATTTCATCTTTTTT